TTAGAACGTGCATTAGAACAGACAAGTCGTTTTTATTCTGACTTAGAACATATTGCAACAGATTTAAATACATTATCAAAAAAATATTCTCAATCACAAACATCAGTGTCACCATCAATATCAAAATATTACAATCAACCTATACATAATACAATAGATGCACTTGATTGGGATTGGAATGATTTTCACTCTTCACCATTAGTGCATTCACCTAAAAATCGTCAAAAGAAACAACATCAACAATATACATCGTCATCATTATCACGTTTAAATAATCATAAATATAAAGTACGAAGACGATTAACTAATATTCATAAACAAACAGATTATAATGAATCAGATCTTGAAATACGTACATCTATTTCCTATGATTGTACAAGTTCACCATTAAGACGAAGTAAGAAAACAAAGATTTCAATACTGATTTGATCCTTTGTTTTTCTTTTTTTTTTTATATTTTATCTAAGAACCAAGTTCAGTTTATTTTGATTCAACAGATAATACAAGTGGTGATGAAAATTTTGGAGATGAAACTCTACAAATTCCATCACCATCATCGGTGCTAACTTCATCAAGAACAACAGAACGTTTTTCAATTTCAAAATAAGATCTATATTTGTGTTATAATACGTAGATCTTATTTTTTTTTCTTCTTTCTTCCGGTGGTGATGGAACGAAGAGCCTTAAAAAAAACTGTTCTTCGAATATTTACGTGTATAAACATAACATTTTAATTGGTGATACAGTGAGATCTACCCCCTTCTCGGTGTGTCAGATTCTGTGTATGTATTCATGACATCTTTACATCCATTTGTGTACTCTCTTTTCTTATATGTGTTTGTGTACATGTCATTTTCGTTTCGTCTTGTTTGACAAATGTCTTCTCTTGTGTATTCTTTCTCTCTCTTTTTGCTTATTCTTATCTTTGTTTTCCTTTTTTTTTGTTCAAATTGCATTTGACTACTACACGCATAGATTGATGAATAATCCTTTCTATATTGAACTATGATGGTAATGATTATTGACAGACAAAAAACAAAACCTTGAGAATAAAAGTATTTAGTTTGATTTAAATGTCTGTCTATCGTGTGTTCTCTCACAATACCTTTTTTTGTTTGTTTATTTTCCTTCTTATATTGGCCATCGGCGTATATTACATATGATATATGCATATATACTTTGAAATAAATGCAGACAACTAGATATGCTGATAGACATCTAGGTTATAATTGAAAGTTTTTTTTTGTTTGTTTTTTTCTTATTATGAGAAATTATTATTAAAAAATCGTTATATTTTAAGTTGACATAGCCGGAAGATATTTTTTTAAATTATTTTTTCGTTTTATGAAGGCATTCAAGTTCAAAGAAAAATTTTCTGAATATGATGCTTGCATGATCATAATAAAAAAAAAACTATAACGAGTTTTATTTGAATGTTGGATGAATGTGGTGAAGTGTGATTTTTACTATTTATTTTAGCCAGTGAAAACGATATTACTACATTTATAATAACTAGAAAAGAAGCCTTCATAAATTATGTAAGATTTTTATAAGTTTATCCATGAATATTTAATTAGGCTTCTTTCTGTTGTAAATAAAATGTCTAAAGAATTTATCACCTTATCAAGTATTTACATTATTCAATATGGCAGCTTAAAAGAGAAAACCTATAATTACATTTGATGATATCAATGAGTAAACAAACGGTGTGTTTTTTTTTACTGTTGTAGTTTTTCTCTATTCATTATGTTGTTATTGCCATTCATCCTGCCGGTGACAATAACAAGGAAGTGAATTTGTTTCATTCCGATAATAATACAGTGAACACGTTCCTATTCGGAACTTTAACATCGTTTTTACAATCCTATTAATGAGCATTCGTGTACTTTTTTTCCTCTTTCTCTTCTACGTTATTTATAGCGAATGCACCAAAACGGTTGTTTATGATTTATTAGAATTGTATATATCAGGGAAAGTAACGAGATAATAACACTATCTCAGATTAAATGAAAAAATTTGATTAATTATTGATAAGAACGATCGTAACCGTTCATCACAATGTGATTTAGCTAACAAATTGAACATTTCACTTCTTTATGTATCCAATATATATTATTAAAATGAAAACTAAAAAAAAAAAGAATATTTTAATGCCTATCAAAACAAACCCAAATCTAACTATTGAGAAAAATTCAAAAGATATAGCCGAAATAAAGCAAAGTTTTGTATTCTGTTGAACAGTTTTTCAATTCATAAATATCTAAATCAGGGAAAGATAACACAACGAATGGTTTCAGATTATTTTAAAACTAGTAAAGAATCATGTATTCTAGAACTTTTCTAATGTCATTTTATAGTATAAGAACACCTCTTAATAGTGAATAGTTTTTCAAAAGTTTCCTACGGTGTTCATTCAAGGGAGATTTTACTGTGTGTGTATGATCAATTAAATGTTTATTTTTTGATACGACGAGAAAAGGTCTTTGGTATTAGTTCATATTCTGTTCAAGACAATATAACTATGTTTGCTTATTATAGAACGTTTTTCTTCATTTAGCAGATATTGTAAGTCAGCAAGTTCAAAAGAAGTGTTGCTTAATTTGATTCTTTTTCTTTAAAGCATTTCTGTCTATTTGTTCAAGAGATGAAACGAAGTTTATATGTATTTATAACGAGTAAGATATCATATTTTGAGGCATTACAGAGTTGAAAAAAATTTGATCAGATGATTTTCAAACTCTGTAAATAATACTTTAGTTTAAATAGATAGATACAAAGAAATGCAACACTGAGCAAATAGAAAAATAACCAATAATTATTTCACATTCTCATGATAAGTATTCGATGAGCATACTTAGCAAAAAAAACATAGCTTGGTTTGACTATCTACAAAACAAAAGAGGGCTCACTTATTTAATTGTTCTATGTTTATAAGTTTACATAAACTGATCATGAATTGATTGATTAATTCATAAGAATTATATTAATATCGTATGATGAAAAATCTCTACTATCGAGTAATTCATCATTATAAGCAATAGAAAGTCTACTGATGATGAAGTTCCTGATTTTCCACATAGTTCTATTTCTATTTATATATAATTCTTATTCCTTTATTGTTATTCTTTAATATACATAGAATGATTGGTTTTGTTCTGAGATCATTCAAAAAATATTTTTTCAATCTGTAAATGTAAATTTACTTATAGTCTCTCTATTACTTTCGTCTGTGATTAAACATACATGAATGTTACTAAGCAAATAAAACTGACAATATATTGAAAGACAACAAATACGAGTTTAATTAAAATATGTTGAAACACAGGACGAGACATTAGCAATTTTATAATCTACAATCTCTTATTAGTGTATTCAAATACAGTAAAAAAAAAACAATACTTTCAAACATGATAAAGAAATGATTAATAACTACGACAAGAATTAATAAATTGTTTTTCTTGGAAATTTACCTTCCAACTTCTTTCTCTCTCGAGATTATTATTCATCAAGTATTAATAATCGTAACACTAAGTCTTAAAAATATTTATGTTTCTTGTAATTTATAACAGAAATCAAATTATAGAAAAAAAAGTATTTCTGCATCCTATACAGCAGTCTATTATGCACGAGGGTCAATACATATTGTTATTGAAAACCATATTTAAGTGTAAAGTGTAACAATAATATTCAAAACATTTTTTTGATCAAGACACGTAGAGTGACGCTCAAAATTATTCATACATTTAGTCGGTGACCTTGTTTTTCTAATATCATAAGCTGTCTATGTCTTGTATTTACTCTGCCAGGCTAGAAATACTAAAAATGATATGCTTTGATATTGCTACATCATTGATCCTACACCACACACAAAATATAAGGGTATAGAAAGATTAAATACCTCATATGTTATCCTTGTGACCTAGCAGTTGTATTTTTTTACAATGAAGTGAAACCTTGTTACAACACATTTTAACATATGTCTTCCCTTGAAAATGATCAAATGCAATAGACAATATTCAACCATTTTGCTTGTAGTATATAATCAATTTTGTAGAGACGTCAAGGACATCATTTGCTGTATTTCTTGTTAGTCTAGCAGAATAAATACATGGTATCAATCGTTGATATTTTGAGTCGATAAACTATACAAATAATACTACATATTAACGAAAATCGAACTCAATCAGTTAGATCTATAATCAATTTCAAGCGCTATTATAAATCTCAAATTTATTGATACTTGCTAAAATGGATATGTATTATAACCATTAACAAAAATTCCGTTAATGAACTTTTTCTAAAACTTGATTAATATTCAATGTCGATTTTCTTCCAATATTTGTTATTTATTACATGATAAAAAAATATATCACAACATATTATCCGACATGATAATGACCATCCCAAGACATGCGTTTTTTTTCTTTTTTTTTTTTTGTTCTTGATCATAACATCAAAAGATTATGTAAAATGACAAAATTGCAATAAAGTATTCATTTGCATTTCTCGCCATTTGAAAGCACTTATATTTTTCGTATAGACGTGAATAATCTTCTATGTCAATAGAAACAACGAGACAAGGTAAATTGAAAAGAATTTAGAAACATATCAAACTGAGTGAAAAATCATTCACAAATACGACATATCATTATTTAAAATAGATCAATAGTAGACTAAAAGTGTTTTTTTTTTTGTTATTGAGTCCATCGGATTGGACATTCTGTATTTATCATTTAGAAAAAAAAACAATAAATCTACAGATGTAAGTTTTAAAATACAAAGAAAAATGTCACGCATAATGCTATCACAAGAGTCAACAGACAACGGAAACTTTGTCTTTTTCCTCTCACTCTCTCGCTCTCGATGTGCACATACATATAAGTGACCTAAAAGAACTCAACAACAACAATTAAAATGTGGATGAGTCTTTACTTGATTGAAACATCTATTGCATATTTGATTTAATTATACTATGCAAAAGTTCTATTAAATAAGAATTATCAATCATCATCATCGTTATTATTTGAATTTGGAATGAATCTTAGAAGTAATGCAGCATCAACGTTTATTGAACAATGTGGACATGTTAAACTTTTTTGAAACCATCTATCTATACATGTTGGATGAAATACATGTGCACCGTCACATGGCAATTGTCGTACTTGTTCATTAGGCACAAAGTCCATTAAACAAATATCACATCTAGAGAAAAACAAAAGAATGAATCAGCTATTTGTGTATTGAAAATGATTGTATTATTTTTATTATTAATAATTACTCGGTTTGTTTAATGGTTTTTTCGTTATAATTAACTATTGGTAAATGTTCAACAAGATTTCGACATTGTGCTGCTTTAATAGCACTGAGATCAGCTGATGAACGACTTAATATAACTAACTAAAAATCAATTGAAATATGATGTAGTTAAAATATGATAAATAAAGACTAATAATTCTTACTTTTGGTATATGTGTTTCAGACATAGTTGAAATCGGATGAGTGAAAGCTGTATTTGAATTTGATGGAGAAACTGTTGATGATGTAGAAATAGAAGGAAAATTACTAGTAGCAGCATCAAGAAGACCGGAATGATCTTCGGGCATACGCCAACAATTACCCATTACAAGGAAGAATAGTTTTCGTCTAGAATAAAGAAAAATATGATGATCAAAAGAAGAACATGAACGTGCATATTTAAATGTCGCAATGGACATACTGAGAGATCAGCTGGCTCACGTCACTCTCTCTTTCTCTGTCTTTCGATTCTGCCGAGTACATATGACTCAAATTCGTTCATATATATTCTATCCAATCTTAGATTTAATTTCATTTTTTTTATCAAATTTATCAAATTGCAAAAAAAACATATTAATTTCAATATTATTTATTTTTCATCAAAAATTTTTCTTTTTTCTTAAATTAACAGATGTCACTAAATAATTTCGATAAGAATCACTTCGTTAAAGATGCACATGAGCACTTGTCTGTCATGGCTGTTATGTCGCCGGCGTCGTCGTATGATTTCTTTTCTTTTCTCAGTTAGTAGCGTGTGATTGATAAGTCATGACATATAATTTCTATCTGATTCTATTTTTTCTTTCAGATTTATTATTTCTAAAACCTTGATTTTGTGTTTTTCACGAAATTTCAAAAGACAAAGCAAAAAAAAGCCGAAACAAAAAAGAAAATATTTTTTTTTAAATTTATAATGACTACTACTAATCGTCAAACAAGTAATAATACAAATGCTAACCGTTCAACAGCTAATGGTCAAACAGGCCGAACATGTCAATTTAAAATGGTTCTATTAGGTGAATCAGCTGTTGGTAAATCATCATTAGTACTTCGATTTGTTCGTGGACAATTTCATGAATATCAAGAATCAACTATTGGTGCAGCTTTTCTTACACAAACTGTATCTGTTGATGATACGACAGTGAAACTAGAATTATGGGATACAGCTGGACAAGAAAGGTACTTTTTTTTTGTCGTGAAATATTTTGATTAAATTTCAAATATTTCATTTAGATATCATTCATTAGCACCAATGTATTATCGTGGTGCACAAGCAGCTATTGTTGTTTATGATATAACAAATGCAGATACATTTAGTCGAGCTAAAGTATGGGTTAAAGAATTACAACGGCAAGCAGCTCCAAATATTGTTATTGCTTTAGCTGGTAATAAAGCTGATTTAGCAACTAAACGTCAAGTTGAAGTTGCTGATGCGCAAACATATGCAGATGAAAACGGTTTAATATTTATGGAAACATCAGCTAAAACAGCAGTGAATGTTAATGATATATTTATGGCAATAGCTAAAAAATTACCGAAAAATCAAGATTCATCTACTACATCTGCTGGACGAAGAGGTAATGATGGTCAATCAATAACAGTTGATCGACCAGGAAATCAACGAGCAGCTGGAAATGATAGTGGATGTTGTGCTGGTAGTACTAAGTAAAGATTTTTGTTTCTTTTCTGTCTATTTGTTTTCCTGACTTAAACAAAAAAAGAAACAAAATAACATCAGACGCTCTTCACGAACAAAATCGATTCGTCAAAAAACAAAGAAGAGACTTATATAAAACACCTATTGGCCGTAATTTCTTTCGTTTTCTTTTCTTCTCTTTTGTATATATTATATATTAATATTCTTTTTTTTTTGTCACAGTGATATAAGTTAGATCGGTTAAGGAAAAAAATAACCAACAGATGATTCTTATACACTCAAGCATAACATTTAATTTATCTATTTAAATACGTCATTCGATTTCGTTTTTTTTTTCGTTTCATTGTTCAGTCTCTCTTGTCTTGTATCGCTGTAAATCTCTTTGTTGTCCTTCGTTCGCTTGTGTTCTTTTGCGTATTTACAAAATAACTAAACCTCTACATATACATATATCCATTGTATTCGATCTTTTTATTACTACTTGGTCTCTTTACATTGATTTCTTTTCTTTTTCTGTCGCGTGTGATCATGGTCGCTGGTTTTCTGTTTCCGAAAAAAACAAAAAAAAAAAGAAACAAGAAGATTTTATCTTGTCAATCATTTATAGGCTTCATACTCTAAATTATAAAAAAATCTATACGCATGTACGCAATGATGTGAATCCAAAAATAAATTTGCATCTTTATATTATCTATTCATTTGATAAAGCAAAAGAGAAATATTGATATTATCTCAAAACAAATGTGAACAGAGCTTTACATGTTTAAACTTCATCTCTCTTCTTTTTTATTCACTCATATTTTTTCAAGTAATTCATTTTTCGTACATATGATTGAAGATAAATGAAAATACGCGTGAGATAAAAATACCAAAAGATAACCACACATGAGTACATATAAGTATTATATAATAATAGTATAGTATATCCTATATATTATCTCTTTCGAGATTTTTCTTTTTATAATTGTTTATTATCATGAAGATATACATTAGATCAATAACATTACTATCATATTCTAGTTGAATCAATCATTGCTCAAAATAAATCTATATTTTACTGATAAATCAATTGAAAAGTATTCCTTTAAGAATCAATTGTACTTGTCTTTAGTATGGAATTATCAAATCTATCTTTCTAATTTGATTATGTTTGTTATTCTTATTGCAGTATGTACTGATAATCGATTTGTTTTCTATTCAGAAAAAAATCATAAAGAGAAATCAAGTCGTCTATATGCAATAACAAAAAGATAACCTTAAAAAACATCAGCACAACAACAATAAACATAACGAGCAAAAAAAGGAGACAGAAACTGAAGAAGGAGAAAAATGTTTCTTTTATTGTATTAAATCGATTAATTATCGAATTTATGAATTATTGTTTGATAATGTATGTGTGAGAGTTGGAAAGGCAACAAAGGATTTATTCGATGTTAAATGTCCGAAATTTTCTTTTAATAAAATTTGTAGACGATGACGATTACCTACAAAAGAAAAAAGAAAGAATATAATTCAATTATATAACTATTCTATTATTTACCATCGAGTAAGTCTAAATAGAATTTTAATTGAAATGAATGAGCTGGTTGTGTTTTGCCAAATAAATTAACAAACTAAAAAAATAATATCATATTAAATAATAGAAATATTAAAAAAAAATATATATATATCAAACCAAATTGAAATGTTTGAAAGCTTTTTCAACATCATTTGTAATAGCATAGATAGCAGCAATATTATAATATACAATGGCTTGTCCAACACGTGCATCACGTGGTAACCAAGTGACTAAATCAGCTAAAGAAAGAATAGATTGAATTAAAATTTTAGCTGAAAAATGTTCAAGATTTTCATATAAGTGTTGAGGTGGCATATGAATGTTTCATATGCTATGATTTCATTGTATCAGAGAGTCAAGTTCAAAAATGTATAGATTTTGTTTTTCAAAGTTATTTCCCTGAAACTCCAAATGATAGCAAGATGTGGATTAAAAAAATTAAATGAAAGAATTTTAACCTAAACTTTTACTCATTAATTAGGAATGTGCAGCTTCAATTTAATGACCATCCCATGACGAGAGAACTACTTCAGTTGCTTTCTTCCCATTTCAACGGTTTCTTGCTCATAGATACTATAGAGTGTTCTAATAATAACTGAGTTTCTACTGAGATTTGACTAAGCTATCGAATTTTTCTCAGAAGCTTTAGATATTTGGAAACCTCGTGTTTTCGAATTTTGGATCTGAAATCTTGTATATATAGTGAACTTAACTAGACTAATTTATATGAAAAAATTTCAAAAGTTTTCAACAAAGATTCTTCAAGAAATGAAACGTTCAAAAAATTCCTTATGTATAAACTATTCATGAAAAAGGGAAAGTCTCATATCCCGAAAAGACTTTATTTAAAGCGTCTGAATTTTATTATGAACGCTAATTTAGTTGATTTATCTATACGTGTGAAGTTTTCGATCTAAAGTCGGAAATATGAGTTTTCTGACAACCTGAGGTTTCTGGAAGAAAATTCCAATAGCTTAATCAAATCTCAATAGGCATCCAGTTATTTTAACACTATATTGTATCTATGAACAACAAACCATTAAAATGGGAAGAAAGCAGCTGAACAGGCTGTAGACCCGTGTTCACTGAAGCATTGCACACACCACTACAAAAAGAGAACATGTGTTGATAGAGTAAATGACTCAATGTTACAGTGAACGTGAATAGCAGTGTAGTCGGTAGTAGAGCCCATCTATTCTGGAAACAACCCGACGGGTGTTCTAGTCGTTGGATCCTGTCGCGACAGCTCATTTTTCAGTATTTACACGAATACTGCACATTTCCATCATTAATATATCTTATTAAACTCAGAATATGTTCAAAGTATTGATCTCGATTCAACTTATTCATTTTTCTTTCATTTGTTCAAATCTCAAGAAAATAATTATGATTGTTTTCCATTGTCAAAAATTAATTTATTTATTGATGATAAGTTTTATCATTTAAATCAATTATTTAATGAACTTTATTTTCGTATTATTTTCTTTTACCTTTTGGAATTGGTGGCGTTATTTCAGGTGTATCAAGTTTCTCTTCTATGAAAGAAAAAGTAAATTATAAGTATCAATTAAACGATATTATTTCTTTACCTTTATCTATTGTTGTTATAGGCATTTTAAATGAAAGATCGTTTTCATTTTTAATTATTTCAGCGTCGAGTTGATTGAGTGCTAATTCAATTTTATTCATTGCTAATAAACTTTCAGATAAATATAATCGAGCAAGATATCTATAGAGAAAGAAAATTGAATAAACGTAATAAAATAATTCAATTAATATCATGGTTACTGACTTGTGTCCGGGTGACGCTCGAGGTTCATCTAATAAATTAGTTGCATAATTTTTAGCCGAAACAAAATCATTTAAACATAAGGATACATAAGCAGCAGCAGTGAATATTGAACATTTTAATGCAATCATATCTCCTATTCGCATTGGATTTCCTGGTGGTGCTGGATAAAGTTTTGTTTCTTCCTTCCTATAAATAAAATTATATAAAACAAAAAAAAATGAAAAACGAATTAATTTTTCTTAATGTAGACATAATCATTCATTTGGAATGTGCCTTCGAAAAATTAAAACACATGTATCTCGGTATAATGAATTTTTCTATGGACTAATTTTTATATAATGAGTTACTCTAGATAACCTAAAAAAATCAGTGCTAGAGACCTTTGCTCAGAAGAATTATCAAGAAAAAAAAATAACGTTAGCAATATGACGAAGTGCAACTATACAAATGAAAAACTGCTCTTACAACTGAATGAGAAGTTCAAAACCTATTCCACATGGTACGAATTTTTCTTTAGAACCTTTAGATGATGGTATGATAAAAGATATTTGGCTTAGCATTTAATACGATCCCTATAAAACTGGTTTTTGAAGAGGATGCTTTCTAAGTACGATCTTACTATGGAGTCTATTCTAAAGTTTTCGGTTTTTTTTTCTCGTAAATTTAGAAAGATATTCATTAATTACTTCTTAATTATTAGTCGTCTCAGTGTTTTATCCAGTGTGAGAAACGTAGAAGCCCATCCGACTGATAGTTTCCGTTGAAGCTTGTAGACGGGATTCATAGTGCAGGTAAAAATTCTGAAAGTGTTCATAGCATTAGACCTTTTTCCTTGAGCTATGATCATTTCACAGAACTTTCACTCTATTGCAAGATGCGAAGAGAAAAATCGCGACAAGAAGTTTCAGTCTAAAACTCTCTGCAACAATAGCTTTTCTGATTTTTATCATATCTTGAAATTTTCAGCTCTAATAAAGGATTTATTCTTAAGATATCATATGCCCAAAAACTACTTTATTTTTGAAGCTCTTGTGTGAAAATGACTTCTTTTTACAAATGTGTTATCTCAGAAGAAAAACATCCGTATGAGCTAAAAATCTCAATATATCATATGGACCACAAGAGCTTTTGTTAGGAAGAGCTTCAGGTCGAAATTCCTTGTTGCAATTTTTCTCGTAATATTCTGAAACAAGCTAAAAGTTCAGCAAAATGACCAAAGCTCGAAGAGAAAAGGTCTAATACTACGAACCCTTTCAAGATTTTTATTTATACTATGACCTCAAACGAGGATTATTAGTAGGCTGGGTTCTCTCGTTTTAAAACCCGGTTCACTATTCATGGTTTTGTGGCCATTGTACCACCCACTATTTGTCTATACTTCAAAAAATAGATGTTCACTCCTTCGGATAATGAAATCTAGATAAAACACTAAGTCATCTGAAGGAGCCAACAATTTCACATCAGTTTATACTAAAAGAACTTATTATAAAAATAATTCCTGTAAAGAATTAACGTCAAATGAAACGTGCGCATGCCGCGTATTGTGTAAAATGTTCTATATCTTACTGTAAATCAGCTTCAGTTATAATTGGTAATGATGTTAAAGCATTTTTTAAACAAAATAAAGCAAATTCCATAGAACAATTTTCATTTCCATTTGTAATTGTTGATTTTTTTGATGATGTTGATGTATTACAATTTCCTAAAATTAATTTATGATGAAAACCATTACCAATTGATTGTAAAACACATTTTAATTTTTCTTCTAATTTAAATATATCTTCATTTGATGAGCGATATATCATAATACAACATTCAGCTAAACGTAACCATAAACGTATATTATTTGAATAAATATGTATAACATCAATTAAACATTCAAATGCTGGTAATGGTTGATGTTTAAATAATAATTGTATACCAAGATTATATAAAATTTCATATTTACGATTAATATTATGTATAATTAATTGTTTATCATTGCTATTTAATTGTTCAATAAGTAAACGATTATTTTCTGTTAATGCACGACGCATATAAAACAATGCAAATGCTGATTTATGTAAATGAAAATGTATACATGAAAGATTATTATAAAAACAATGTGAAGAATTTGTTTGTAATGATATTAATGATGAATTTGTTTGTTGATTATTTGTTAGAATTTTTAATGCACGAATATGATTTTCTTTAAAATATTCAAAATTTGCACGTGCATATGTTAAACTTGTTGATAACTGAACAAAATATTAAAAAAATCCAATTAAATATTTCATTAGAAAAAACAATGTTTTTTTTTTACTATGTTGGTATTTTGTAGTTGTTTTAATTCTTTTTTACATGTACGTAATGATTTAAGCATAAGTAAACAACGAATTTTATACTTAAAAAATAAAATATTAAATTTTAATGAAAAGATGTAAAAACATAACTAACCAAACTAATTTTTGATTTTAGAATTTCAAGATTATCATTCATCATATTAGGACTATGTGAAAGACCGTTTGATGGTGAACTCGCACGTTCACTAAGTAATTTTTCAAGATGTATCACTGTTGCAAGTGCATTTTCTGGCTACAAAATATATTTACAATGTTAATTTAAAAAAACACATAAAAAGAATCATTTACCTGAAATGTACATAAATCAAGTTCACATAGAAGAAGACAAATTTTCCATGAAAGTGTTTCATCTGAAATTTGAACAAAAAAAGTTTTTTTTTTTTTTATTTAGATGATAATCTTTACCAATTTGTCCAATGAATCGAAACAATTTTTCAACAATTAATAATGCTGATCGATATTGACGCATATGATACAGAAGAACAGCCATATTATAAAATAATGTACATTGATCGGGTTCTTCCAATGTTGTTACATTGTCTAATGAACAATGAAGCTAAATATAAAGAAACAAGTTAGATCATTCTTGACTTATTCATAGAGACTATCGATTTGAAAATTATGGAGAACCAAAGCGAGGTGCACAGGAGCAGATTTTTCTGTCCCAATAACTTCTTGTTAAGTAGCCTCGGCTATGTCCTCGATAAAACTAACATATCTCTGATTCCGATCACTAAGATGGACGCTGAAATTCATCCTGCACTTATGTATTCCTGAATATTGTCTAGAGTTTTATTTTATTTAGTTACACAGACATATCATTTTTATGCTTGATAAATTGTTCCACAGTAGCTGTCAAAATCATCAAACTAGTAAATTATTTTATTTTATTTTATGTATATTTCAAGAGCTAGAATGATCTAGTATGCAACGAATTACAATACATAGTCTTTAGCATATTGATGAAAAATTCCTGATCAGCTCACTGATCTGTTTAACTTTTATTGGCACGACAATCTTTACATGCTGTTTTTTATCTTTCCAAAATTATCCGATCACTTTTCTGTTTTGCAAATTAGCACTCACATATTCTATGTTGACCTTCAATTTTTATGATATATGATTCAATAGAACAACATGTTTCAATATAAAGAGTACTCTTTATCGTAGCTTTCTTGTGAGTGCAGATTAAAAAGTAATGACTTTTTTTTTACCTATGTTGGAAACTTTCAACAACACGGTGACAAAGGAAATTCTTTTGCATATAATATTTAGCTGATTTATTGTTTAATATAGTACTGACAAGAGCACTACAAATTGCATGACATATTCTATTTTGATTGATAGTTATTATTGAAAAATTGTGTTGATCATCTTCTATTTATATACGTGTTACGCATAAATTTTCTTGTATGATCTCATTCACGTATTGAACGAGATATCAAATAAATTGTTTTGAAACGTAGGTTTCTAAGTAATCTTTTCCCGTAAAACACTGTTATATATCAAAAGCTTACTGTAGTCCCAATAACAGATTTAGTGCAAATGTTACTAAATGCATAGCTAGTTTTGGCATCTCACGTCTAGGTAAATAGATGACGACATTTAAACACAACCTATTATGTCAAGATTCATTTCATACATCTCAATTTGACGAGATAAATATTCAGTATGTTATTGGGACTAAAACAAACTTTTGAGTCCTAATATTTTTAATGTGACAAAAATATAGAACTCGAGTGTTATAATCGATTTTGATTTCAAACATAAGTGTGTTATACGAGAAAAGTGTCTCGAGAAATCGACACTTTTAAGACAATATTTTTAATACTCCCTTCAATGCGTGATCTGTCATTGGTGTAAACATGCGAGAATGATCAACATAATTTTTCAAATATAAGTATCAATTACAATAGAGTATTTCATGCTATTTGTAGTCCTCTTGCTAATGATCTATTGAATAATAAATTGAATAAATATCATATGAAAAAAATGTCTTTTATTATCTTGTTGTTGAAAGTTTTTGATAGAGATAAAAAAAAAGCATTATTTTCTAATCTTACCCAAAGAAAGGCTACAATAAAAAGTGATTTACAAAAACAAAGTGGGTGCACAATTTTGACGGATTCTGTGTACAACATGAATATTATGAAACTTGATCAGTCTGTTGTGCTTCGAAACATCGATAAAAATTATTGAACAATTAAATACAATCTGTCAAGACTGAATATTCTGTCGGATTATAAGATGAATAGGACATATTCTTTCGAATGAAGTCGTATTAGATGAGATACATATCATATGTCGTCTATTATCATTTTCTCTATATACGAGTGTATTTACGAAATTCTTAGAAAAGTTTTCATGATTCTTTTTTTATAATCATTTTTGGAAATAGCTACCTTAAAAACTCATGAAATTATGATAATATTTTTCAAGTTTACACTTTGAATATGATTATAAAATAAATAAGAATTACTTTTTCAGCTATTTTATTAAGTTGTGTTTTAAATGTATCTGTTTTTTGAAAACTGGACATAGCATACTCTGCTAATGCAATATTAAACAGAACTTTTGGATCATCTGGACATGATTCAAGAATTTTTTGTAATGTTTTCAGACAAACTAAACAAATAAAAACAAAAAATATTTCAATGAACAAATATAATTTCGTATTTAAATTACAAACCATCATATTGTCCTCCTTCATATTCTTGTTTAGCTTTGGTAGCTAATTCTTTATCTTGTTCAGAAAAAATTGAACATTGTTCACTATTATTATTTGTTGTTGTATTATTATTATCTTCAGTCATACTTATGGAAAAAGAAAATGTATATAAATATATCTAAAAACTAAGAAAAAAAAACAATGAAAGTTATTAATGATCAATGACGAGATTTCTTCTTTCTTTTATTTGAACGATCGCGAGATTTTGAACGTTTATTTTTTCGACTAGATTCATCTTTATTTTTTTCAATAGATTTTAATGGTGGATTTCGAAATACATGTAAATAATTACAACGACGTCCTTTTGGACATTTGCCATGTTCAAATAAACCTTTAATAAGAAAAACAAAATAATAAATAAACAATATATTAGAAGAACTAAAAAAAACTTATTACGGCAATGTCTATGCGATTAAAATGTATAAAACAATATTACTGCTCTTGCTAATCATAAATAGAGCCCGTCGGTTCTGGGATCAAATAAATATGCTCTAATTGCAGGGAGATTATTTTTTGATCACTATTCTTTCACTTAATTATCTAGAAATTTGATAATCAAGTGGTTCATGTAACTAGTGGGGCATAATAAAAGACTGCGTTTTGCATTTCCATTTTCAATCAGCAGAAACAACAAAGTATACATCAAGACGTAGGATGAAAACGTCTACATTTTATAAAGAACAGTTTAGTTTATTTTATATATGAATCTGTTTGATGACTATCTACAAGTGCTAATAAAGTTCAAAAAATTTTTCTTATAACATGCTAATGATTTCTGGCGTGTATTAGCTTAATCAGACTTAAAAAAAACGTAAACTTATGAATATTTTTAGAGACATTTAGCTACATCATCATTTTTCTTGGATGCCTAGTTATCATGATTCATGATAATTTGTTCATCTTGTAACATAAATATGTTCTAATCAAGAATCTTCTTGTCAGTAAATAGAGTTGTTCTCAATGGATGGAAGAAAAAAAAAGCGAATTGATTATTAACTGAAAATATTTTCATGCCCAGAGCGTTGAAAATTAGTCTTACGAAGTTTTGTCCATTTTGAAAATAAAAGATTCATACATAAAATAAACTGTTCTTTCTAAGTGATAAAGCTGTTTTCAATGAATTTTGTCGTACATTTTGTTTGTTTTTTAGTGATTAACAATTGAAATGCAAAATATGACCATGAATTATGTGTCATCTGTTATCATAACAAAAACGTTATTTATATACAATCTTTGATTGTATGTCAACGATGTCTGTCACAACCTACGACGAAGAGAAGAGATGTTGATAAGGTGTCTGTCAAGGGTTCTGAGTAGCGTCTATCACAATCTGTGGAAGAGAATGCAAGTTTCTATGCAATATATTTTAACCATTTGTATGTTTACCACAAATAGCTGCTGACCAACTTGGAATATTTACAAATTGACATTGAACCATTCGACCAGCATAATATCGTGTATTTAATGCTTTATATGCTTGCATAGCTTGATAATCTCTTAATAAAATAAATTAATTCAATACAAAAAATCAGTAATAATAGAAAGATTTACGTTTCATATTGTATGTAAACATTTCCACGTAAATGTATTTCGGAATTTGCACATACTTTAAATATAATTACATGACCAAAACGTTCAAATTCTGGTAAAACATCATAATAAAAATCTTTAAAATTTTCATATCGTTCAGATTCTTCAAATTCTAAACCAATATCTTAAACATAAAAGAATAAAATTTTAATGATCATTTGTATAATTAAATGAATGTTCTTTACCAAAATCATATTCATCATCTAAACCATATTGCATTTCAAAATTTGAATACATATTTACAGCTAATAATGTATTAGTTATATCTGGTTTATTATGAGTTCGATGACAACTATGAAACAAAAAGCAATAGTAAAGACAGCAACAGATGCTAGATGATAAAACCAACCGCTCATTATATCGACAAACACCGGTTTTTAAATAAAATGAACAAACAGGACGTTCAATACTTGGAGCAATCGTTACTTGAATTGGTGCAAATGGATTATGAGTTGGAGCAGTGATTTTTGATAATGATAATTCCTAAAAATGAATTTACATTTTCACAATACGAAAATTAACTATTTAAATCGATAGAATTTTACATGATTTTCAATACATTGTATCTTTTACTCAGATTAACTATTCGTATTATTTTGACATCTCTGTCTTTTAAATCTTTCTTTTTTGTCGATTGAATTTGTATTGTCTTTCTAAAGGAACAATATAATATAGCGCGCTATAACTTGACTCTTCTAGCTCATTAAGTACACAAGTTATTCGTTTCGGATATCATATTTCAAAACAACTCAACTGTTGATATGTGAATCATTATAAATGAAATAATGGACTATGTATGGACTCAAGCAATCAATTTAAAATGCGAAACAACATAGAAATTTGAAAATTGAATACGTTTATTGAATATTCATTTTTTTTTAAATATTCAATTGATTATCTTTTTCTAATGATTTTCAACGCAAAAAAAAAAAGAAGAATTTTCACACAAGTGTAAGTACTTGACAATGTTAGTTATTTTCCTAAGTAAGATTTTTGGTTTGAAGATAGAATTAATACATGCTAACGGTTATATTTAGTTATCTAACTCATCACGAAACAAGTCCTATGTGGTTTCGCCACACAAATTGATTGCTTAGGTCACACCCACTGCATTATTACATTTTTAATAATTAACATATTCACAAGTGAGTTGCTGTGAAATATGATATTTTTGACTAATACCGTTCGTAGTCAATGAGCTAAAGACCTCAAGTTATAGTCATTTTGAAGAGAGCGTTTCACTGTATTAGTATTTTATACAGACATCTCTACAAGAAGACTTATTCATATGAAAACATTCCTTATACAAATTGATTCAAGACTTCTGACTTAATCTTTCGATTAAAAGATAAAAATAGATAAAAAAATAATTAGTGTTTAAAAACTTCATGATAAGAATGTCGAAAGATTGTGTAGAACTCATCGTTTTAAACGTCAGAAATACTAAATACAAAATAGGAATAAGATTTGAGGACATTTATTTTTGTCATTTTTCTCAAGAGTATTCGTGCAGTTACGAAGGAACGTTACTAAGTGTTAAATCGCTTTGAAGTCGAAACTATATGCATTATGTAGGTTTTAATCAACTATAGATACCCTAATAAGAGTTTCGAGTTAATAGCTTATTAATGCCAAGATATCGTATTTTTTTAGCGGAATATCCTGGTCTCCTCAGTAAAACTGAGTTTTGCATTTCGTCTTGAAACTTTGTGCAGAGACAGCACCTAGCACGAATAGGTTATTGTAAAAATCTGTGACTTTTCTACTGCCACAATTCTGAGATAAGAACATCCCAATTAGCCGTTGGATATAAGTGGTGTGAAAAAAATGCTTTTACTATAATCGTATCTTACGATAGAAACAATCAAAAGCTCCAAAGCTTCTATAATGAACTATTCTCTTTCAAACGTATTTATACGTAAAGTTTTAAGTCGACATATCGAAGGCCAGTTTTTTTCTTGTTCCTCAGAAGGACTACAGTATTCTGATAAAAAAAATACAAATCTCAGCAGTAATAAATTATTAGTTGGCAATTCTTTTCGAATTATTCAAATCTCTTTAGAATCTATATAATACATATAATCCCGACTTTTTAGAAACGTTCTCTTTTTGGAAATAAAAACGATACCGCCACATATGATGATAGTAAATATGCTATCTTCTTAGCTGTCACAATCAATAGAAGAGAAAGATAGAACAGGAAATTCTGTAAATTTTTGTTAAGCTATTTTGTTTTTTACCGAATGCAAAAAAAAAAAGCTTTCCTTGATTTTGAAGGTTTTGAATAATAAGTAGGGCACCCATATTTTTTTTCTACTGTAAATTCAATACAAAAGCTAATAGTGTAAACTGATACAGCTTTTCATTCTTTACAAAAGGACGTATCGATTAGTTTATGCAAGGTTAAACAAGTGTGATATCTGACCTTGTATAAAGTAATCGATGTGTTATTTTATAGAGCATGAAAAACTACGTAGATCTACGCTGACAGTTTTTATGTTCAGTTTGTAAAAGAAAAAACTGACAGGTTTCCAAAGACTATTAAGTCCATGAAAAATGTTTCTTTTTGCATTTAACACACAGAATACATAGACAGAAATGTGTACAACTTCATGCTCTATCTGGACAATTAATCAAAAAAAAAAATTCCTTGAAGTACTCTTAATTGATAATCAATGTTCTCTTTCTCACTTTCTGTATTTAATAATTCGTATGAGAACTATAAATCAGTTTAAAAGATCTTGAATAGATTTTCATAAATTAGCTTACTTTTTGTTTTTCTTCCATTTCTTTTCTTAATTGTTCTTTCTTTTGAATTTCCATTTGTTCATGTTGTTTTCGTAATTTTTGAGCTTTTTGACTAGAATGAAAAATTTTTTAAATTCTTTTCCTTTATTTCTAAAAATAAATGCAATATACTTTTCTTCTTCTTCTTCAATTTCTTTTTGTCTTCGGATATTTTCTTGATGTATAATCCATGCTTGATATAATGGATCATTTTGTCTTTGAATTTCTTCTAGACGAAGATTTTCATCACGTTCTTTTGCTTTTTGTTGTCGGAATAATTGTCGACGTAATTTTTTTATTAAAAACCGATAAATCTTATGACTTAAATATTGATTAAAAAAAAAAGAGTCAAGGAGAAAAAAATATGTCAATTTTGAATGCAAAACAAAAAGAATTATTTAATAATAAAAAGTGAAAAGGATATTTTTTTTAATCTTAATACTTGAATTTTCTTGTTTGATGTTTTACTTTGAATTGTTCAATTAAACTTAATTTCATTTTTTCAAATAATTGATTATCTATTCGAATATCCATTTAAAAAAAAAAATATTATTCATTAATTTTCTTTTCTATTATCCATATTTTATACTAATCCAATAAATAAACCAATAAAACACATAGATACATGTGTCGACACATCGGAAACAATAATAGGCACATGATTTTATGTTTTATGAAAAATATATAATTTCTAGTATTTTCTATAGTTGAAGGAAAGAATTCATTCGTTTTTTTTTTCGTATTAATTAATTTTCTTTTTCAATATAAATATATCTATGTTTACTTGATTGTATAAATGACCTTGACAAATAATGTCACTAACAAAATAATCAAGCTAAAGAAAAAAGAAATTCTTCTTTAACATTGATTTCTTTTGTTTTTTATTTTTTATTAGATAATCAAAACGATGCAACCAGGCGGGCAAAGTCTTGTTGATCGGCTTTTAGCCGCAAAAAATACAATTGCTGGACAAGCTCTAGCAAAAGTTGTTTGTAAGGCAACAACTGAAGAAATTATGGGTCCAAAACGAAAACATCTTGATTGTAAAATATTTTAATAAAATAAAAAAATTTTTATTTTTTTTTTAATTTTTTTTCTAAGTTCTTTTACAAGCAACTAATGAAATGAATGTATCAATACCTCAATTGGCTGATTTATTAATTGAGCGTACACAAAATTCATCATGGGTTGTTTCATTTAAAGCTTTAATTACAATACATCATTTGATGTGTTTTGGAAATGAAGTAAAATTTATGTTTTATTGAGTTTTAAACTAATCTTTTTTTTATGTTTTTAGCGTTTTGAAGCTTATATGGCTTCACATAATCATAGACTTCAACCAGCTGCTTATTTAGATCGTATGGGAATGCCTGGTGGTGATATGTCGAATTATATTCGACGTTATGCAAGTTATTTAAATGAGAAACGAGAATCTTATAAATTAATGGGTTATGATTTTTGTAAAATTAAACGAGGGTTTGTTCAATTGATTTGATTAATGATAAATTATTTAATGTTGTGGTTCTTTTTTTTTATAGAAAAGATGATGGAGTTCTTCGAACAATGCCTACTGAAAAAGTAAGAATATTAGAAATTTAGTATTAAAAAAATGAATTAATTTTATTGAATAGCTATTGAAAGCACTACCTATTCTGCAAAAACAACTAGATGCTTTACTTGAATTTGATGTAAGTTTGTTTTTTCTTATGTGATTTTTGAAAATTAAACGAAAAAAAAAACCACAACAAAAATTTAGAATAAAAAATTAAAGATATCTGTAAGTTAAGATTTGCCTGATTTTAGCATTATTTTGTTGAAGTATAGCATGTGCGATGCAAAGAGCATGAGAGAAAAATTTTGTATTGTGAAAACAAATGGAATTTTATTTTTTTTATAGGTTACACCTAATGAACTTACAAATGGTGTTATAAATAGTTGTTTTTTTCTCTTAATCAAAGATCTTATACGTTTATATGCAGCTTTTAATGATGGAATGATAAATTTACTTGGTAAGAATAATTTCTTTTATTTTTAATATGAAGAAAAAAAAAGAAACAGATTGTATTTGATTTTTTAGAGAAATATTTTGATATGAATAAAAAACAATGTCGTGAAGCATTAGATATTTATAAGAAATTTCTTGATCGAACAGATAAAGTTTCAAATTTTCTCAAAGTTGCTGAAGTAAGTACATTTCTATTCCTATTTTAAAATCAGCTCATTAAATAATAACCAAAAATTAACTATGATAAACTAGCGTTACGGTCAATTATTTGACCGACATACTTGGAAAAAGGTAATATTGAGTTAAGAAAACTAACGAGATTTGTTTGAATAAAAATTCTTTTTCACAGTCTGTATGTGTGGGAGATTCACAATTCTAGTTCGTTTCTTTTATATCTCTAGCAACTTTCAGTGTATGACTACCAGGTTTGTTTTGCTAAATAGAAAACGAAATGAAGAGAATATATAAAGACTAAATGATAGCTTTCTGGCCTTCTATGCTTCAATGTGTGAAATACTAACATTAAAAATTTTTATAATATTATAAATAAAAGACAAAGACGAATATAAAGAAATTTTTGTTTTTTTACTTTTTAGACATCGGGTATGGAACGAAGTGAAATTCCTGATTTATCACGAGTAAGTGAATATAAAAATTGAAAATACATGAATTTTTGTTCTTACGAGCATGTATATACATATATAGAGAATTGATGAAAATAATACAGTAAGTGAAGGGAAAAGGATACCAAATTTGCATGTTAAAATTCTGACTAAATTAGTTCTGATCAAATATCACTATTTATGAATATGAAAAAAAAAAGATTAAAAAAACGAAATTTTTGTTTGTCATAGGCTCCAAGTAGTCTTTTGGAAGCATTGGAAAATCATTTAGCACACATGGAAGGTAAAAAATTATCATCGCAAACATCAATTTCAAGGTATAATACAAAACAAACAAAATATCAAATGATTTATTAAATTTTGAAATATTTTTAGACAACAAACTGAACAAGATTTAAAAAGTTTTTCACGTGATTTAATATTTAATGATAGTGATGATCCACAAAAAATTCTTGAAGAAGAAGCTAAAGCACTTGCACAATTTAATAAGGTTTAATTTATTTTTTAAAACTTATTTTTATCTTTATTTAATTTATATATAGAGTAAAGATTCATCATCATCTACATATACGCAACCACCACCAGCAACAACAACTAGCAATAATTTTGGCGATACAGATTTCTTTTCTCAACAAACATCAAATGGTCAACATACAAAATCAAGTACAACCGTACAACATCAACAATTATTAACTGATGATCTTTTTTCACTTGCTACACCACCATCACAAACATCAACAAATACATTTTTTAATAACAATCAAAATACTTTTCCTGCATTTCAACAACCGCAACAACCATTCCATAATGTTCTTGATACATCAGTGCCTAAAAGTAATTTAAATAAATTTCTTTTTTTTTTTCTTTCTTATTTCTAATAACATTATAATAATATTAATATTAATTTTTTTTACTTATAATAAAAAAAAGTAGAAGAAGCTCCTCCATCAAATGAAACATCGATAGTAACAAATATAACTGAAGGTTTGTTAGATGTTGTCGCATGTGTTATGATACATCAATAGCATGCAGACATTTGTGTTTAAATGTATTCAACAGGTCTCATAATAGAAAATAACTTGTTTGTTTGTTTTTTTTTTATTTTAGCAAACTTTTTCGATGATATTCTTCAACCAACATCGATGTCATCCAATAAAAATACACCATCAATCCCATTATTTACTACTAATCAAAACATTCCATCAACAACTAAACCACTTCAATCAGGTGATCTTAATTCATCTCTTAATCAATTATTAGAAAATCTTGATATAAAAGATCGTTCGAAAATTGGGTAAAAATTTTGTATTATATTTACAATAGAGGTTTTTTTTGGATTTTTTTCTTATAGAAAAGATCATCAATGGACACCAGGCGATAGTAAAAATCAACAAAAAATTGGTATTGGAGGTGGAAGTATAATTAGTCCTGGTACAACATGGCCAAGTCAACCACCAATGATGGGCGCACAGTTTGGTAGTGTAAGTTATTTTCAAATAAGAAATTTTTTGTTTTTTTTTTAGAATTGAATAATTTTCAACTTTGTAAATATATATATATATATATGTTTATAGATGAGTGTTCAACAAAATACGATGTGGCAACAATCAGCACCTCAAACATCATCGACCAATCCTTTTGCTGCTCCTACTGGTCAATCAGTACGTAATTACCCTCATCGCTCTTTTCTTTTTCTTTTCTTTTTACCAATCAGCTGCTATTTGCTGTCGAGTAATACATCTATTTTTTTTCGAGCTCTTGATTGCCCCCACAAATATTTGTCGAGTGTTTTTTTTTCTTTTGCTCGTTTCTTATCTTCGTATTGCGTTGATGTAGACGTAATTTAAGCCCCTTTTCTTTTCTCTCTCTTGCTGTCTCTCGCATCGATGTTGACGAACTAGTCAATGATGGTTTATTTGCATTCGCCTACATTTTCTTCGTTTTTTTTGCACCTTATCAAAGCAGCAAATAATGATACCCCTATTTCAAACATCATAGTGGGCGAAAAAAAAAATACAAACGGCCGTTGCCGAATCGGTCGTCTATTTTGCTTTCATTATTCACTCTACCTCTTCTGTGCGCATGTGCTTAATAAGCAATGAAACGCACACATATCAACGGAAAGAGAGGCAAACAGGCAACAACCAAATACAAAACACAAGTCGCACTAACGTTTCATGCGCATAGACACACTGAGTTTAGTTGCAGTAATGTCTCTCTCTGCTGTGTGTGCGGGCGCACATACACTACTCTCCTTCTTTTTTTCCGTGTACCCCTCTCTTTTTTTTGCATTGAAGAGAGTCAGTCATTTGATTTCATGTATGTGATTGTAGCAGCAAAAGTATTATTACGAAAAAAATGCTTTTATATGAGCTTTTTTTCTCAATTTATCTTCGATGTATTTTGATATGAAGACGTATAGTGTTGAAATCACAAAAAATTACATTTGAGTCGAGCATAATCAGTAAGTAACAATATAAAAAAAATACAACAACTATCCTTCTTCCTAAGACTAAGTTCTTCTAAATTTTCTCTTACACCCACACATACATATAATGTAGAAAGAGACATTACGATATTGACTAATACATATACAATCGAAAAATAAAATATACATATAAATATTATTATATATAACATGAACAAAAAAAGTGACCTACATTTAGAATTTCATAGAATTATATTACAAAATATCAAGCAAATGAAATACGAGAAAAACAATATATGATTTCATAATATTTTGTATAGTATTCAATCTATATATAGAATTTGTATACAAGCATATCATGGCGTAAATAAGATTTAGGTCTCTTGAAACTATAGTTATACATCGATATTTTTGAAAAATATCATTTGAAATTCTGTATTAAGTATAAATTGCAATTTTACCGTATTTATAAAAATTAAAAAACTGACATGCATAAAATATTTTCATGTATTCATACTTTCTCGTACTACTAAAGCTGTCAGTGATTATCATAACTATCATCCAAGGATGTTTATGAGTGGTCAAATTGAAAAACGACAGTCGTACACAATTATGAACATTTATTTGAATTATAAACATATCTTTCAGTAATAATACACATAAAAATACAATATATTTCAGAGATTAATTTGTTCATTAAAAACAAAAGTTCAACTATTTTGATATTCTCTAATCAAAATAGATATTATGCAATAAAATTTTCAATAAGTTCGCTTAGAATTGATGTTATGTTTTAGTCACATCATGTAAACAACGATTGGATTCTATTCAATCAAATATCCTAAAATTATGCTCACGCTGTGAAGTAGTCATCGGCGTCAGAGTCATGATCAAGATCTAAAAGAAAAGTTTTTCATCTCAGTCTTTGTTAATGAGACAAGAAGAATAATTGGACTTGAATGTTGCCTTCAAATTGGTCTTCTTTTCGAAATACCGTAGAAAACTTGAAGATACAATCATCTCCTGTCGAGAAAAATGTTGTGCATTTTTCTCTGTTGGAGATTAGTCGAATGTCACGCTTTAAAAGACATTCTGAAGGAGAAAAACTTCTGAACAAAAATTTCAGCTTCAATTATTCTTGTTGTCTTGTTAGAAAAAGCTCTTCGGAAAAACTTTTCTTTTCTCTGATCATGACCGTGACTGCACTACAGCTCTGTATTATCAAGCAGCCCGTAGTTCAGTGATATTTTTTTTTTACAAAAGTACTTGAGCAACATTCCATTGAATGCTTTGGAGACAAATTTATCAACAAGCTGATGTTTCTCTTGTAGCCCTATGCAATTCATAGAACTTCACAATGAGAATTCATCCGTACAATCGTAGTTACTCCATAAGCAGATCTTCAATCAGATTAGCATTACTTTTCAATAGTTAACATCATATGCTCTACATAATGGAATTAATTTTACGCAAATATAAATTTGTGATTAAGGAAATCTCTGTGATGATTATTTGTAGCTTACATAGAATGATTAATATATAGTTCCGAGATGTATACGTGTGTCTAAACTACAGAAGATTTTTATATAGTTGTAAGGATCAAACGAAAACTTAAATAATTAATCTTAGATAACTAAACTCTAGTATAGTAAACAAGATGTGAATTCGGTGATAATAAAAGTATCTTACTTTTTGTATAGATATATATGACAAGTGCAATGCGTCCTTACTATCCTGTGGTAATAATCTAATTTTACTTAGCATATTTGTGTAGTCAGGGAATTAATGGTAAAAGACTTTATTCTAAATATACAAAACTGCAATCTAAATAAAATGCTATAACAATATAACTGATATCATTAGTTGGGCAGCTTTAATGCATGATATTCTTTTGCTTTGGAATATTCAGTTTGATCAATATCATATTAGATGATTTATTCATGGAGATATCTTCACTAAAAGGCTACAATCTATATTTCTTAACATTTCCTATGGAAAATTCTGCTTAATTTTATTTATTCAATGCATAAAATAAAAAATAAAATAAATTATTCAAATGAACTAATTGCATTGTTTCTTATTTTAGCAAATGGGATTTGGCAGTATGGGACCTCGACCAATGGGTGCAGGTACGAATCCATTTGCTGCTCAACCATCATTCGGCGCTTCACCATTTGGTCAACAACCAAAGCAAAATCAGCAGCAAGTTAATGATCCATTTGGCAGTCTTTAAATCAAAATAAAACAAAAAACAAACAAAAAAGACTTTAACATGATTAAGAGACAGAGAGAAAAATAATCTATCAATTACTTTGCCTATTGTCATGTGCAATGCTTTATCTCATTTAATTATCTTTGTCAAATTATTCTCATTATTGCCAAACGTAGTCGATCCATAAACATTCCACCACCCAAATCAATTATCACCTTCTCTTGTGCGATTATCGTCTAGTCATCTGATTTAAACGAAAACAAAAAACAATAAAAAAAAAAGACTCCATTCGATGTTATACCTATTTGATCTGATAGACATTATATTGCTCCTGATCTCTGCAAGTACACACATTTGTTTTTTCTTTTTTGTTCCTTTTCATACTCTCTTGCTCTCTTAATTTGAACATTTCTTTATTACCATAATTCTATGTTTCACTAATGTAATTTGTATCCCATGAAACACAAAAAACTTCTAAAACAAAAAAATATTTCAATCATACAATTATTTTTCTATATTTTGTGAGTGTGCGTGCTTCTGTAATTTTCTTTTTCTTTTCCAATCATTAGCGCTGTTTCCGTCTCTTTATTATACTTCCACTATTTATCTAGCTATCTTTATTTATTGTCATAATCGATTTACCTTTGTTCGTATATGTACGATTTCTTTTTTTTTTCTTTTGTCCTATTTCCTTCACATATATACACTGCCGGTTTTTCTTTATGTAGATTGAAATTATCTCTTAAAATTCTTCTTCTTGTTCTCATCAAACAAATATGTGTGTTTTTTGTTGGTGATTTTACCTTTTTTTCTCCTATCACTTTTTTTTTCTTCATAAAAAAAAAGAAATTTTCATTAAATGGTGTCGTAAAATAGAATCAAAGTCTTTTATTCATTTTGACTGAGGATAATAATAATAAGATTGGGAGATTGATCTTTAACAAATTCTGTCAATGATTCAATTTGAAAGTAATGTATTGGAATGAGTTTGTTCTAATTTACATTTTATACATATCTGTTATACATTTATATATTTCTCTATTACAGGACGAGATTATCTTATGGAAGATGATATTTTCAATGATAATTTATGGTAAGTCAATTTAATGCTTGAAATTTTTCAATATGACTAAAAAATTTTCGAAAACTTCTGGTATTTTTTCGATCAAATCTTACTCTTAATATTATACTTCAATACAATTCTATTCAAAGTCAAGCTTTTCGTTTTTTTACAATTCAAGTTTCAATAGTTTATAATAGTCGTCGCTACTTCACAGTCAACTGTCTTTTTTCCTTTATAAATTATCGACGTCGGCAAGCGACATTGCGCGACTGTGCTATTCACATATTTATTTCATCTAGTGAAGAGACAAAATAGCTGATGAAGGCGTCGCTATCGTCCGTTTGTTAGAAAAGAGGTCTTGTGTATATAAGAGTCAAGATGGCGATGCAGTCGTAGAAGAAAAAAATCGAAAATACAACAATATATACACCCTATGTGTTGAGCGTGTGTACTCACCTTATGATATTATTATTATTTATTACAATCAATGTTCAGGTAACTAATTTAAATAGTATAGTTTAAAAAATAAATAAAGTACATTATAACCTGAACAAGAATAAATAATTCGTTTTGCCTTGTTTGTTTATTTTATAAATTTTTTATACCAAAAAATAAAACATATTATTCAATAATAGTTTTTCTAAATTTATTTTTTCTCATTTATTAATCAACAAAAATCATTAAAGCATTATATAGAATTCTAAAATGAATATTTAATTATAATCTAAAAGACCTTGACTTCAGTTACTTTATATGGTGTGAGAAAAAAGTCTTTGTTTTTAAAGATATACGGATTATTTTTTAAATATTTTCATTGAAATTTATCGAATTAACGATGAAATAAATTAAAATCTATTATAAAACAGTTATTTCATGAATTTGAGTTCGAAATTCTCATACTAAGTACTTGTTTTTCTCTCGGTCCATTTCAAAAAAAGTTAACCTCTGAAAACTTTTTGCGGTTTTTTTGACAGATAATGACTTGTCAATGAAGTTAAATAGACTCTCAGTGAAATATTCTTTTTTATCTATGAAAGATTTTTATTTTATTAAATTCTACTTCCTACTATAGCAATTCAAATACTCAACAACATTTAAACAGTGATTATCGAACAACACCTGATCATCATCAATTAAATGATGATGATGAATCAAATCCAACAGAACAAAATCCTAGTTTATCACATTTTATTTCATCATCGAATAGATTTGATGATGATGAAGAAGATGAACCACTTTTATTACGACAGCGTAATAGTCAAAAACAAATATCAGTAAATAAAAATGAAAATGATTCAAATAGTTCAGAGGAATCTGAACAACAACAACAACAACAAGAAAGATTAAGTGATTCAGATGAAGATGAAGAACCAACTGGAGAAGAAGAAGATGATGATGATGACAATGATGAAGAAGAAGAAGAAGATGATGATGATGATGATGATGATGACGACGATGATGATGACGATGATGATGATGATGATTTTGATGAGAAACGAAAAACACGATCGAAATCAAAACGAGGCTTTGGACAAGCAAAATCCAAGTCGAAAAAACAAGTATGTATAAGAATATTAATTAAGAAAATAAGATTGTCATCATACATGAATTATTTGGTTGTTTCTTTTGAATTATTCTAATGTCGCTAGGATTGGGATAAGGATCTATGACTCAGAAGGTCTATTGGAAGATTTTGTTTTTGAGAATCAATGACTAAAAAAAAATAATAAAATATTGAAAGCTTGATAGAGTAAAACGAAAGTTTCTCAGGATGAGGGGATGAGACTCCTATGTCTGGAACTAATATTTCTTCTGAAAAAAATTTTCCAATTTTGAAATTTAATGGTTTATAGTATCGACAGTTCGAAAACAGAGAATCGCTCAGTATACAATGAAATCAAAAAGTAATTTTGGGAACGCATTGTTTTTATTGAAGGTTAACGTGACCGAGTAATTCCGTTGTTCGATACGTATCCACAATTTATTGTGTGATAATCAGGCTGTTATCAGCCATCGCATGACCTTGAACAACTCACTAACAGCCATTTGTGTCGGATCATTCATCCGATAGCATGCGATCTTCTGTCTAAAGTTACAGTTGTAGGGAAGATATTGGGCTATTGAGTCTGCCAGTTGACTGCATCCCATAAATCTTAATTTAAAATCAAAATCACAATCGAGAAATTATACAAAACGGATACACATCATAAAGCATTCTTATTCATCTAAGTACAAAGCTAATGAACTTACAGTGATGAAAAGTTCTTTTGAGTATTCCTACTATTACATGATAAAGCCATCTAGTAAGGTAAAGCATCGATCATTGGTGAAAAAAATTAAAAAAATAGCTTCCTTAGTTAATGTCGATTGGCTTCAGTGGAAGACAATATTGATCATTCGTTTAATTATTTACGAAGTACCCTTTCCAAATGTCAAATCACTTTTCCACCCAGACGATGTTAGTTCGATGTATAATAGAAAAGTCTTGAATGATTTGGATTTTCAGGCCTTCGCTCTTAAGATATTAAAATTTGACTAGGTTTTCCAAAAAACGCTGTGACCGTCCTCCAGTCACATGGAAAGTTGTCTTTCATGTTGCTACCCTTTTTTAATGAAGAACCCCGCTCGAAAAAGGAGGCCCAAAAAACCAAACCATTCTAGACTTTTTTATTACTTATCAAATAAACATCGTCGCGGTCGGAAAACGATTTGATACGTAGACAAGTTTCCTTCATCATTAAATTAAACCTCTTTTATTTATGTGTCAATTAAGAATATTCTAGCCATCGTTGTTGATACATAATAATTGTTGTCCAAAGTTGGCGTGTGTCTTTTAAATGTAAATGAACCAGATGTCATACGTAGGACTGGATGTTATTCAATAAAAATAATGTGTCATCTATAATATATATGACCAGCTTTTGCAATAAGAACATTATACTAAGTAGTCATAGCGATTGCAACATCTAGTATTTTGCAAATATTCCAGCACAGATAAATCGTATAATCTTGATTTTTTTTAAAGATGGGCTGTAGCATTCTCTACAAGAATGATAATGAGGAATCCTGTTAAGTTAATTGAAAGATTTTTTTTAAAGGCTAAAAAGTTATATTTGTAATCTGATAAGCTCTTTTCTTCAAACAGTTCGTACCTTTGAAGAACGTAATGGCCACAATATTTTTCATTTTATTTCATTTCAATTGTTTTGGAACAGTAATGATGATATCATAAAAGGTTTTGTTTGAAATAAGAAGAAAACTATTTTTAACGTTATTTTTATTATTGGTCTTATAAAAAGTAATCATCAAAATAGCCCAATAGGATTTCTCATTATCATATTTTAAGACAGTTTCACGACTGATCTTTTAAAAAGATTAAAAATCCTACAATTTATGTCTACGAAGTATATTTGCAAAATACTAGATGTAGCAACCATTACGGCTTATCCAATATTAGTGTCCTGCATGGATACGACTTTGTGTATCTGAATCAGAGCTAATCCACATACGGTACACACTTTCACAATTGTACTACAATCTTTAAACTTTTATTATATATAAAAATATATACTGTTTAGTTTCTTGCATAAGCAGCAATAAAAAAAAAAAGAAACAATTTCGTATTCCACAAAAAAACCTGAGTGATTCCGGATTGACTTGAGGGTGATGATAGCGCTGTAATGGAACTTAGTATTTATGGCAAACATACATACATCAATGCTTTCTTCATGCATTCAATCATTTCGTCTTCTGGTATCTCATAATCTGTAAATGAGTTTTCATGAAAAACAAATTCTCTGAGTCAAAAATATCGTTCACCACTATTGCGACTTTGTTTTAAGTACAATAAATCACTTAACCCTGATCGAACCAGTTTTCATTCCTATGCATGTATAGCAGTTTGAGAAAGTAAAACTAAGTTCCATTTCAGAGTTAAATAGACGTGGCTATTTTTTGA